ATAATCACTGTCAGCCAGTGTAGAGTCATCTAAAGCTAATAGAAGTACGTTGATTTATGCTGACTGAGGACCTGACCCGAAATCCACCGAATTATGGGTTGGCTGAGTTTGAAAGGGACCTCTGGAGGGCCTCTTGTATCAAATTTGGATAGATCTTTTGATACAGTAATATGAAGACACTTTTTCTTCCCCCCTAGCACAAGACCAGAAAGAATAGCTAATTCAGGGATATGATGGCCATCATGGACCACAACTGAACAGGATGCAAAAAACAGGATCCTTCTTACTTTGTGGTTGCATTTTATTTGTTTAATAGCATAGGTAAGCCTGAGGCTTTACAGATCTACCAAAATAAAGATGAAGCCAACAGCTTAGTGTAACAGACAAATTCTACATGTGAAAAAAGTAATCAGATCTCATGTGGATGAACTAGAAGAAAAGGATAGACAAGCAAAAAGAAAAGAAGCTCGAGCAACTTGCTTTTCCTTCAAGAGGGATACAAGGAATTTGAACTGCTGTGTTTTATCAACATTCATGCTACTTTTTTGTTCTTTTACCACTTCATTATTGTTTGCTGTTAATCCATTATTACTTTTTCCACTGTAGCAACAAAGCTCCTGATGAGAAAACAGTGATGTTTTCTCACAGCTATTGTAATGGGTGTAGATTTTTGAATTTAAAAATGTCATCCTCCTCCAACTGGTATGCATATAGATTTAAGGATTTGGTCTGAATCAACTACTAGTTTCCACTTGTGATAGCCACATGAATCCTGACAGAACACTGACTCCAGCAGCCTGGCAAATCTTGACTAGGCAGTACTTACCTTTGCCTTAGGGCTCACTGATCCACATTTTTAGCAAATATTTTGACATACAACTTCTGAATTACTTGAATTATGTATCAGGTAATGTTTCTCTTCACGTTGTTCCACCTTAACATTCTGCTCCTACATTTTTAAAAGTGCATTTACATGATTCTCAAGTACTTATTGAAAACCAAATTTACAATGCAGAAACTAAGAACAATCTGAAAACAGATTATGTATTGTTATCCCACCTGGCAGAATGCAACAAACATCATAATCCTATCTCACTTGCAACACAGTAATGCAGTTAAAAATGGTTCTAGTGCTCTTAAAAGGAAACTTCCATTCACGAGACAACACAGTTGCGAGAAAAAGGTATCATGTACTGCAGCAGAGCCCTCCTAAAACACTGGCTGAGGTTTCCATGGTTAACCTAAATTAAAATTAATTCCATATTTTTTGGCAGAATGTCTATAAACTAATTTTCATATTTTCTTCTTCAATTATAATTAAAAATGTAGGGAAAAGGCTTCATATGTCTCAAGTATGAAGGTATATTACAGTAGACGTTTTTGGTTTTAAATTGCTACAATGCTTACTTTAATTGAGGCAAAATTAAGTGGGAAAGTAGAATGTCATGACTGCCTTCTGTGATTATATAGTTAATACATATACCCCATGCCTACAGGGCAATAACAACTTGCATGCTAGATTTGGCTGCATGTTCTAAAAGGATGTGAACCTTAATAAAGATTTGATCTGCAGTCACCATGCATTTCTGTTGGAAGAATTATTAATCAGCAATTCAGAAACAAGAGAAGATAGCAAGGGAAGGTAGAAGACTTTTTACAGCAACATTTGAAAGATATTAATAGTAAAGACGTGAAATGTATAATATCAAAGAGAAACATAATTAAATAAAATGAAGAGTAGTTTGGCTTGCGTTCACATGCAAGATCTACTTTGTCTATATAATCAGTGAGCAGACAGATTCAATGTGAGAGAAGTGCACGAATGGTCCAGATCTCTGGATGTGAAGACAGGACAAGAGATGCATCCAAAAGAATCCTCTCAGCAGATTAAAACCACTCTGATTCCATAAAGGCCTTCTGATGACTTCCCAGCAAGTAGTCCATAAATGCACAATCCCAGATTAAGGTCATCCTTCTTACAAGCACTCAAAGGCATGACATCACATTACAGACAGCTTTAATAAAAGCTGTTAGAGTTCACTGAATCATCATCTTACTGGCTTCTGTCTATCAAGTACATCCACTGTTTGCAACCCTTCACAATAATCATCTCTAAATTGAATACATACATATTTTACAATTAATTGAAAAAGCAAGAAAATAAACATGAAATATAAACTTTTTCTACACTTAGTTTCTAGAATTAGGAGCACATCCTGAAACTCAGTGACACTTGTTAACATACAATTGCTACAACTGCTACAGGATATGGTGAGTAATCTCCTTTGCAGCATTCTGGGTTAGATAACTCTCACCTCTGGTGGATGAAGTACACATCTTGATTTTGGAAATGCATATGGAGAGGTGGGGAAGTAAAATGCATGTGTGTTTTCCTAAGGCCTGTTCAAACACCACAGTCTCACCCGCTTTCCCATCCTTCTCACCCTAAGAGACTGACGCTCTTAAGCTAAAAAAAGGCTTTGGGTTGAAATAATAAGCACGTGCCATGTCTGGACTGAAATATATTAGTCTAGGTTTGTGAATAGCACTGACTCCAAAGTAAATTCTATAACCACTTATCAGTAAAAAATTGGGAAAGGAACTGATAAAATAATGTAGTGGGATCTATTTTGTGTTTCAAATTCTCCACTAGCAAATAGAAACCCTCCCTTAAAGTAGAGGAGCTTGCTTTGACTAATTTTAAAATATACAAACAGAAGCAACCCTATTAAAAGTCTTAAAACTACATTTATTCAGACAATGTGAGAAGAAAGAATTCTATTACTTGGAAAGCACTTTTCTCACCTCACCTTTCAACCATTATTTGCATACAACCCAAATCACCTCTGAATAAATTCCACTGGCCTTCCTTACATACCATCATTATCTATTTTCACGTGGAATAGTTAGTGTACTAACTATTAGGATAGCCTAACACTTCACAGAGACAGCTGATTGCAAATTAAAGAGGAGACACAGCTTCCACTGTGAAAACTCCAGAGGGGAAAAAGATCCACAAGTTAAACGTGGAAGGACTCAGAAACGGAGGGCTGCTTATCCTCAGTAAGTGAAAAGCAATGGCTAGAAGAAGGGGGGAACAAAGTGGAAAGGGAGAAACAACAATGAGCAAAGACTGTATGTGAGACGACCATAGAACAAGCACATAGAAGCATATAAGATGAAGCAAGTTCATTTGAATTAGACTCCTGGGCGTTAAGCAAGCCAGAAATAGCAACACTGCATAGGTGAGAAACTGTTAATTTTTCTAAAGGGTGGGCTAGGAGTTAAATTTTCTCATCTGTCATAGGCTTTCTGGTTAGTGGCAGGGATGTCACTCAGTCTGTGTCTCAGTCCCTCATCGATAAAGCTGGATGTTGTACAGAAAAGCCACAAATGATTCAGGGGACTGTCACTTGATGAGGGCAAGATATGAACCTACGGAGACAGCTATACCTCACAGATCCCTGCTGAAGAAAACAAAAAGAGGAAGGGGAGAGAGAGGGAGGGAGGGGGGGAGAGAGAAAGAGAGAGGGAAAAAGACTGGCTACGGTGACATGACCTAACTACCTGAATGTTAGAGAGGAACACAAATGCCCATGACAGATGGACATACAGCCTCAAGAAAGATAAACGTCTGAGCACAAAAAGCCTGAAGAAGAAAGAAAATTTTCACCAACTGAGAAGGGTGACGATACAGACACAGGTATATTCAAATTATAAGGCTGACTATACTTAAAAGCAGAACAAATCTCTGAGATTGCTCTCAAAGGAATGCTCTCCAATTTCAGGGAGATGTTATTTGGTTACTAGCTACTGCTAGGAATAGTGAATACAGTCTACTAGTATCAAATATCCATGAGAAAAGCATGAGAAAGTTATGGACAGGAAGAAATAGGACTTCTGGTTGCAGTGGAGGAAAGGAAGGGTTGGGAAACTTCTTTAAATATAGAGAAAATGGGGAAAAGACCCTTGTCACACACAGCTTCAGCCTAAGAAGCCTAAGAATAGATTCTTACATTCAGGTGTGACTCGTGGGCAGAACGGAGGGTAACTGGTACAAGTAGTTATTAAATAAGATAGACATAGCCACAAGAAGAATCTCATGTACCAAAAGAAGCAAGCAAAGGAGACAAGCAGTCTGCAGACTATCTAGTTGCAGAGAGGATCAGAGGGGCAGAGGAGACACACAGCCGATCAGAGATGAAATTTGCCCTGAGGGCACAAACAACTCTCCTGAATACACGTGAGTTTATTTGAGCAGGTTTGAGCATATAAGGGGGTCAGAAGGAAACAGGGGAATGGCACTGAGGCAGCAAGCGTTCACAGTGACAGTATTTCTTCATAATATGCTGAGCAACTCCTGGAAATCTTTACTATCCCCTCTGGCCATTACCCCCCATTATTTGTTCTAACCAGTGCTTGAAGAGCTTTTCAATATCTAAGTCTGTAACCAACAGCATAAGTTCTTGCTAAGTCCAACTTCCGTCTTTGCTATTTATTATTGTCAGACTGGTAAGTATGACTAAGCAATATACAATAGCTGCGAGAGGCATGTCCTTGTCCCAGGCAGACTTCTCCTGCCCTATAAAGTCTAAAAGCACAAAAAGATCATGAGTAGGAGAAAGCAAATAGTACCATCTCCATGTTAGAGATTGAGAACTGAGGAAAAGAGCTAGGAAGTGAATTTCCCAGGATTTCACAGGAAGTCAGTGGCAAAACTGGATATTGAAACCCTCTCTCTTCAATACCCATCTGGTGCTTCAGCAAAGGGGCAGTGCATCTCTTCTAAGGACATTCCCTTTTGTCCTCAGAGTGTTCTGGTAACAAGAGTCTTAGACTGAATGTATATATTGAGTGTATACAGCTTAAGGTCTTGTTGTACACCACGTTGTACATTTTCCTCTCTGTGTTTCCAACTTTCTTGTAGCTACTTTTGGTCTGAGTTCAAATTAGCAGTGCTACCACCTCCATCCACAAAGTCAACTTCTTTATGTACTTACAGTTCTGTTGGTGAAGTTACTGAAGTCTGTCACTAAGATTTGCTTGATCATGTCTGGTGAGGAGACCACCACAAACATCTGGCGACCAATGTAATACCTACAAAGGAAAAAGAGAGTCATTTTAGCAGATAGTGACAACAGAGAACTATCTCCTTCTGTAAAATACCTCTTTTTGCTTGAAAATACTTGCCATGAACAAATATCACGGTAAACATATTCCCTTTGGTAAAGCAGTATCTTTTCCCAGTCCTCTCAACTATTAAATTAAGATGCGTGGTCCTGGAATTTGAAGGAAACAGCTTAAAATCTTTTACTGATTGATCAAAACTCAGCCAATATTTTAATGTAAAGGTTTGTATGCTCTATGCTCACTCTGAATGCAGTACAAAGCGATGTAGTATCACTAAACCAAACTACGGAGGAGCAAAACATTAGAAACCAACAACCCAAATAAGCATTGAAGACCTACAAAATAGATTTTCCTGCAGTTAGCCACATGATGGCAAAGCCCTGTCTACAATGAGCCTTTCCAGAAGTCCCCCCACCATGACTGCAATAAAGGCACACTTCCACAGCTTCTACTAGCACTGGAACTGAGTGCATCTCAGACTCCAGGACATAACCATGGACATAACAATCTAACAGATACCATCTGAACTTTACATTATACCAATAAGGAGGGGAAAAAAAAAAGAAGAAAAGAAAAGGAAAAAAAAAAGGTTCACGAAGTGTCTAAGGGAATTAATAAAGGTTTAGAAGAACAATAAGTGACAGGGGTGTCTCTGCCTGCACACCTTCTATCTCCCTGCTCCCAGTTTAATCTGATCTTGTGGAGCCATGGTATGTCCTTGCATGTCTTCACACCATCGTGGAAGCTGCAGAGGTACTGGTCCAACCCAACACCACAACTCCTAGGAGTGCAGAGCTCCCTTCTCCAGTACCATTCCCCCCAAGGCCCACAGGCGCTTCATGCTTGGCTGCTCTGCCAGAGGAGGAAGAAGTACCACCAGGAAGTAGAGGTTGCTTGCAGTCCCTACCTTTGTTGATTGCTGGACCAGAAAGATTATTCAGGCGGTGCTGTCTTTCCTCCACTAGGAGAAAGGAAGAAGAGACTGGAGGCAGGCACAGGAGGGCTAGGCAGCTCATGGCAGAACACAAGAGCAATACCACAGATGCTGCAAAACTGTGGTAATATCTGTGCCTAATCATTTTTGTACGATATAGTTTAGTATCAATATATTGCTTATCACCTGTCTACATTGCAGCAACTGAATAGACAAGCAAACCCTGGGCTGAATTAAATATAGTAACTAGAGGTTCCCATGGCAATGAAGCTGCAGCACTTTGATTTCTCCAAGGGCAAACAAATCAGACAAATATCTGGATTCCAAAGCTAGGTTTCACAGACCACCTTGACGCCCCTACCACCAAAACTCATAACAAACAAATGGTAAAGAAGAACAAGAACACAATTTTCTTCAGGAAGAAAGATATAATCTTTTCTTCTCTGGTGGGTTTCCAGAGGGAACTTTTATTTCCCAAATGCAATCCACAGGCTCTACTTGAACCTTAGATATGGGTGGTGTGGTCTGTGAAGATAAACCTTTTTCACCCCTCCCAGTAAAATAACTGTCTGTTAATGGTCAAACTTTTATTCAGAACCCCAATAGGTGTATAAGAAAGCACTGAGGCCTCATTTTAAAGAGGGTTTTGATCACAGACTTTAGCAAAAGAGGATAATGCCCTACGTGCACCTTCTGTATGTACTTTGTACAGTTTTTCTGGCATCAAAGAGACAAAGCAAGTTCTCAGGGCAAAGACCCAGCCACAAATACTGACCTCTCATGCTCCTACTTTGCTTTTCTCTTCCTCTCTCCAAGTTTATCAAGTTCCTTGTCACATTTAATGGTTAGTGACTGATGGTCCTGTAACACACAGTTTTTTACAGGGAGCAATTTCCTGACACCAGATTCCAAATCTGAATCAGAAGCTAATTATGTCTACCCAGATAGCCTAACTCTGACCAGCAAGAGGCCCCATATGATACATCATGCAAAGCATGTATGTGTAAGAGAGACACAATTCTAATTTATTTCAAACCTGGGAAGTTGCACAGCTCCAGCTCCTGTCCAATGGAATAACAGGCCAGTACTCACAGTAGGAGTCTCTATGTCACAGCGCACTTTGTGCTTGAAAGCATTCAGGACTAAAAATTTGGGACAGGAGCATCTCCTACTCAAGCTGCTTTTATGAGAAAGTGACTCACAAGCCAAGCTTATGCAAACAAATCTATTCATCATCCTCCAACTCAGACCAGTCACCCGAACTCCCAGTTCTGCTTCCACAGCTAAGTTCTTTCTTTTTTGTTCACTCTCCTCTAACTTTCTAGCTATAGGTACCTGCTTTTCCTTTCATTATCCAGTTATAAATTAGGGCAGAGAAGGAGAAGAAGGGGGAAAAAGATACCTTACAACTAATAAATTGAAAATTCTGGAAAAAAAAATCTTAAATTGCTTTTTAAGCAAAGTTCTGCCCATTTTTAAGGAATGACTGCAGTAAAGCACACACCACCATCTCTTATTGCATCCCAAACAGCAAAGGCTTTCTTCCTGCCTTTTTTCTGTTCTCCTGCTTTCTGTATATAATCTTTCTAACCTTTTCTAGGACACAAAAATAAGGGTGTGTGTATGGACATGCTTTGGAAGTCAAGATCCTGAGGCTAGAAGCATGACTTACACGATCTTCCCCTGAAGTTAAGGAAAAAGGACAGGTAGAACTTAGCACGAAACAAGATCATCTGAGCCATTTCATTTAGCCAACAGAGGTTCGGAACCTGTAAAGGCATCAGAAAGATGATTACCTGATTTTAACACATTTTAAATCCTTTGCAGGATCAAGGCCTCAGTCACACTCCAGGAGAATATCTCCCAACTAGGCGTTTGGGGGGTTTTTTCACTTTTTTTTCAAAATGGCAAGTAAAAGATAAAATCCTCCTGAACAATAATCTATTCTTTCCAAGTAAATAACGTATTTCACCCCTGCCATGTAAATTCATTTTGATTCTGTATTACTACATGAGGATATCACCAGTCTCACATAGACTTAGATTTATTATTGAACAAAACCTGATATTCTTGTCAGATTTTAATAAATAAGAGTTTGAGAAAAACAAAAGCCTCTGGGCAAGAGCATTGCAAATGGATTCATGAATAATTTAGGACAGTACTTTTTATTAACTTTTCTTAGCTTAATCTTTTCACATGGCTCGTTCACACACAAAAGTCCTACCTTTAGCTACAGTACCATTACATTGCTTGACCCAACCCTTTGTACTACTTTCAGGTAGGGCATTCAGGGTATAATGCAAATGCTTGAGACTACCTAGCTCACTTCTGCAGAGAAGCAAGAACCCACGCATGTAGTTTGGCATCCTCAGGGTGACACAACTCTGTCCACATCGAAACACTTGTGGAAACACTTACTGCCATACCAGTAAAAATAAATTTCATCACCCATGCACGAAGGCAATTTTCCTGTGTAGATGAAGCCTCAGTTATTTAAGTTAAGCTGTTGGGGCAATTTCTATTATATTTCAGTTTAAACTGCAGCTGTGCAAAATAGAGAAAAAATTCCACCTTTTAGACCAGTAGCTTTAGCTCCATTGGAAGGTGAGACAGGAAAAACCTGGTACTAGTCTATCAACAGCACAAGGACAGAGTGAGCTTCCTCCAGCAAATGAAAGTGCAGATCAGGAACCATTGCCCCAGCAGGCTGTCAGGGCAGAAGCAGGAAGCCTTGTGTTGCACCATCCTCAGGAGGGTCAGGTAAAAATTTTTTACAGGTGTTCAACGGAAGGCATGGATGGATCTATTCCCAGAAGTTATGGAAAAGGCAAAGGTTACCAAAGGGCTCACAGGTCAAGGAGATGGCTAGGTTACAGGATATTGAACAAAATAAATTACTCTTCATCTATAGTGTTTTAACAACTGAAGAGGCAATAAACACCCACTGCAGCAGTTTGGGTCATAAGATCAGAGAAGCATCGTTCTTAAGGCAATTAATGACAAGAACAGAGACTACTGCCTTGTGTTCAGGTTTCACCCAGGATGTTGTAGTTCTCTTTACAATGATTCAGTCATTTAGAAAATGCATCTCTTTTTTTTAATCCACAAGAATAAAAAGCAATCCAGCAACTATGTCTGCTGTTTTGCTCATGCACCACCATTGCTCGCTGCAGAGATGTGGCCTAGGTGTCTGAAACCACACCTAGTGCCTGCCATGGCCACAGCAACACCCAAGCATGTCATCTTCCTTCCCAAGGTTTGCCAGGGACTCCCCCAGAATGCAGATTTCTTTTATCAGACAATGTAGTAGATCAATCAGCTACCAAACTAGCATTATCTTTTCTGCACTCCCAAGATCATCCTGACCACACTGGATGGTCATCAGCTGCTGACAGCATCCCTCAGATCCTAAGCCACCAATGTGCTTGCAGCAATGTTGCCCTGTTGCACAGGAAAAGGTAAGAGCACTTATAGTACCTTATGGCAAAGGGCCATATGTTTTTGTATAACACCCATGTGGGAAACACCTGCAACCCTTTCACCTTGTTTATAGTGCTGCTATCAATTCACAGAAGACTTTGATCTCCCTATCTATTATCAGTCCCATGTATTATAAACACATCATATTAATCATAAAACATACATATGCTGTTAGACAATAAACAAGGCTTTGTATTCTATGCTGTGGTCTGGTGAAGTACACAAAGATCATCTGCAAAGCCATATGAAAACAGAATATTTTATTATCTCTATCTTCCTCAGAGAGGAGCAAAGAACAAAGAAAAAGGTGGGAGCAGGAAGAAGAGGTATGCAAAGATAAATAGATATGGGGGAAAGGCTAATTTTCTTAGGAGATATTTCCTTTAAAGAAGTACCTTGATCACTCTGCCTCTTTTGTTTAGTGATACCCATTAATTGCAGGCAGAGAAGCGTAAAAACGAATAGCACACAGCTTGTTTCAAATAGGACTGAAGCCTGGCATTACTTACTTAATTGTTTCAGAGCAAACTGATTTGTCATGAGCACTGTCCCC